AAGGAGGGTGGATCCCTGGGATCCTGAACCGTATTTATTAATAACGACCCGCACCCGGCTCAGCTCTAGGATGTCCCTAACCCTGCCCCTGGTCAGCAGGATATCAAACCTAAGGGGTCCCCAGGGCCTCACCGGCCCCTGCTCGTCCACCTTTGGGGTCCACTTGCCGCCCAGCCCTCTCCTGCGGCCCCGAGGAGCTGCAGCGCGGGCACCGGCCACGCTGGCACAGGGGCCCAGCCTGGCTGAGGGTGGCCTGTGGGCGCCTGGCCCCAGGTGCGAAGCCTCCCCTTGGGCGGATGAGAGCGTTTGTCCCGAGGGCCGCTGGGCTTCGTGCAGCTCTGCCTCCAGGCCCCGGCCCCCCCCCCCCCCCCCCCAAGCCCCCCCCCCCCCCCCCCGCCCCAGGTCATGGTCCTCTCCCAAAACAAAGGACGAACGACTGCTAACGTGTATGTGGCGCCTGGTATGTGCCAGGCGCGTTAGAAAGAGCTCGTTGATCTCCACACCACACCTGGGAGGCAGGTCTCATCCCCATTTTACAGATGAGGAAACTGAGGCAGATAGCGGTTAAATAACCTGCCCAGGGTCACCAACCCAGGAAGGGCCTGCATTTGAACTCAGGGCTTACGGACTCCCGGCTCTTTCCACTGCTACTTACAGCACCTCCTCCTCATGGCCACGCGGGGTGCCAGGATCCCCCCCCCCACCAGCCCTATAATGGGTGCCTGTGGAGCTGCCAGGTGGGACCAGGTTAACCCAAGCCTCTGCTCCACCCCCATTCCCACACACCACAAACAGGAACCTGAGCATCCTTGCCCATCCCCCTCCAATGATCCCCCAGAGCTGTCAGACCCGGGCTGTGCTGAGCTGTCTTTAGCCTGCCCCTTCACAGTGGGTTGCCTTGTCTGCCCCATTAGACTGTAAGCTGCTGGAGGGCAGGGACTGTATATGCCAGCACTTAGCACAGTGCCTGGCACATAGTAGGCACTCAGTGCTAAATAACTGACTCATCCCTCCCTTCACCGAAGCACCCTATGTGTTAGTAACCTGTACAACCCGAGCCCAGGTCTTACCCTCTTCCCTTATGAATTACTGCTTTTTTCCCCTGGATGATGGTGATTCAGGGAAATCAAAAGCTCAGGTTCCACTGACTGTCATTCCCTTCCCCCCACCCTGGCCCTAGCTCTCTGAGGGAAGGGGATCTGGACAGCCGGTAAGCTGCTGGCTCTAAGGGAAAAGATCTCCTTGCTGGTGTCCAGAACGGGCTGTCTCTCCTCTCCTCACCCAGATCCTCCCTGAGATCCGAACTTCCTGGTGGCCCCTGGTCACGAGGATAAAGCAGCCCCTGTATCTGGATTGAGATTTTGAGGCTTCTGTAAGGAAGACAGGCTGTGGCCAGAGGTTCAAGTGGTCATGGACCTGGGTGATGGTGATTAGCCCAGAGGAAGATTATTTGATACTGGGCAGAGGCAGAGATGGCCCAAGGAAAGGAAGATAGCCAGCCTCCGTTCTCTCTTTGCCCACTTCTCTTATTATAGGCCGGACCCTTCTAGGGGGCCTAGGGACACACACGGCCCCTTCCTTTATTCCTTTCAATGATTTGTGGATGTAGGTGGTTCAAGGATTTCTCTCCCAACCTCTGAAGCTGGCAGATCTGGGAGAGCCAGAGGGCAGAGGTTCTCAGAGATAAGGATTAACTTTTTCCTTTGAGTTTTGCTGTGTTCAGTACATTATATGGCTCACAGTGTTGAGCACCTGAGTGTTTTGGGTGTGCAGGGGCATGCCTTTAGAGAGAAGAACCCACTCTATTAAGCACTATTCTGTTTCATCCCCTTGCTGAGTTCTGAACCTTGTTAGCTCAGTTTAAACTGCTAAGCACAGTTTCTGCTTGAAGCCCAGCAGTGAGAAGGCAGCATAGGTGTTTACCAGCTGGCTACCCTCTGGTGGTCAATGGGAATACAACAGCCTTTTTGGGAGACCCTTCCACTTTCCCCAGAAAGGGACTGAAGTGGCTACTGGGTAATGGCTCAAAGAAAATTCCACCTGCTGGAAAATTCAGGTGTGGTGCCCCCTCGGTGGATAATTAACATGGAGACATGCTGTCATCCAGTAGGTTTAAGGAAACCAGTACAAGTCAGATTTGGACTGCTTTTACTACAGTACCCTCAGTATCTCAAGTAGGACACACAGGAATGGTGGGAAAAGAGTTGGAGGAGGGTCAATTTGTTACTATCTGCATGACACTGGATAAGTCACTTTCCTTCTCTGGGACTCAGTTTCCTTATCTATAAAATGAAGTGATTAGATGAAATGATCCTAAGCCAGAAAGCCAAGGAGCTATGCTGATACCTATGGAACCAACCAATCAATAAGCATTTATTAAGTGTTTATTCTGTGCCAAGTGCTGTGCTGAGCTCTGAGGACACAAAGAAAAGCGATAATCCCTGCCCTCAAGGAACTTACGTTCTAACAGAGGAACAACACATACATTAGAACACACACTCACAGGAGTGGAGGGATGGCACCAGCTGGGCAGGGCGGCCACAAAAGGAAACCAGGGATTCCAGGGCCTGAATTGGAAGGGAGAACATTCCAGGCTTAAGGATACTTCTTTGCAAAGGCATGGAGCTGACAGATGATGTGGTCTGTTTGAGAAACCATAAGGAGGCCAGAATGGCTGGATGCTGGACTGTATGTTGTGTAGGGCCTTAACTGCCAAACAAAGGATTTGTTTAATTTAATCCTGGAAGTAATAGGGAGCCACTTCAGTTTATCTAGTTCAGGGCAAGGAGGGGCTGACATAGTCCAATCTATGCACTAACAAGGGAGTGAAGAATGGATTGGAGTGGGGAGAGACAAGTGCAACAGTCCAGGTGAAAGGTGATGGGGGTCTGTACCAGGCCCCACCTGGTTGATGTAGGGGAGAAACAAAATTTAGCACTGGCTTAGATAAGAGAGAGTGAGGAGGTTTGGAAGCTGGGTGCCTGGAAGGGTGGTGTTCTCCTTGAAATGGAAATGCCAACAACTTTGAGGCACCATCTCACCCCTATCAGATGGGCTGACATGACAGGTGTTGGAGGGGATGTGGGGAGACGGGCTACCTGGATGTGCTGCTGGTAGAACTGGGAACTAGCCCAGCCATTCTGGAAAGGCTTCTTGAATGGGCGAAAGGTGAAGGGAGCAAGCATGTATTAAGAGCCTACTTCGTGCCGGGCACCGTGCTAAGCATTTTACCAGTATTATCTCAAACCTCACAACTACTTTGAGAGGTAGGTACTATTATGATGCCCATTTTACAGATGAGAAAACAGAGGCAGACAGAGGTTAAGTGACTTGCACGGAACCGCACAGCCAGGAAGTGTCTGAGTCAGGATTTGAACTCAGGTCTTCCTAACTCTATTCCTAGCACTCCATCTGCCATGCCATCTAGCTGCCTCTAGGAAGGGTCAATGGTCTCAAAAGCTGCCTAGAGGAATGGCTGAACAAGCTGTGGTATGTGGACGTAATGGAATACCATTGTTCCATAAGAAATAATGAGCAGGTGGACTTCAGAAAAACCTGCAAAGACTTGGGTGAACTGATGCTGAGTGAAATGAGCAGAACCAGGAGAACATTGTACACAGTAACAGCCACATTGTGCGATGACCAACTTTGATAGACTTAGCTGTTATCAGCAATATAATGAGCTAAGACAATTCCAAAAGACTCAGGATGGAAAATGCTGTCCACATCCAGAGAAAGAACTATGGAGTCTGAATGGAGATCAAAGCATACTCTTTTCTCTCTTTTTTTTCTTTCTCCTGGTTTTTCCCTTTTGTTCTGATTCTTCTTTCACAGCATGATTAATGCGGAAATAGGTTTAATATGATCATACATGTAGAGCTTATATCAGATTGTATGCCATCTTTGGGGGGGAGGGAGAAAAATTTGGAACTCAAAATCTCATAAAAGTGAATGTTGAAAACTAAAAATTAATTAATTAATTAATCGGTGATTTTTTTTTTAAGCTACTCAGAGGTCAAGAAGGAGGAGAATTGAAGGGGAAAACCAATGGATGGAACAGTTAGAAGATGGTAGGTAAGCATGGAGAGAATAGATTCAATGGGGGAGTGGGGGTGGGAAAGCAGATCAAGAAGTGAGTGGGACGTGAAGAAGTAGAAGCAATGAGTGTGGACCACTTGGGCAGTTTGTCAGGAGATGGAAAAAGATCCAGGCCTCTGGCTTGAGGGCTTGGCAGGGCCAAGCGTAGGTCCTTGGCGAGGGCTTCGGCAGTTTGTAGGCAGTGGGGGAGGTGCCAGCTGATAGAGAGATTGGACTATGGAAGGAAGAGATAAGTGGAGGGGCAGACCCTCAGAGGAAATTAATAAGCACTTATGTTTAATATAAATTTTTATTGATATCTCTCATTTTTACATCTCTAAAACTTCTCATATCCCCCTTTGTCCCACAGAGCCATTCCATATAATAAATAATATTTTTAAAGAAAAAAAAACACAAACACTTGGCGCTTACTAGCTGTGTGACCC